ATCAGTATTTACTAGTTTAAAAACAGATTCCTGGATAATTGATTCTAGAGCATCAGAACATATGTGTTTTGACCCCAATTCTTTTCTGTTTCTAATTCCACTCCCAATACCTTTGAACATTAATTTACCTAATTCTTTCAAGGTAGGTGTTACTCATATTGGGAGTATATCAATTCTGCCAGGTCATGTCTTAACTAATGTCCTTCATATGCCAAATTTTAAATATAATTTACTATCTGTTCATAAGTTCTGTGTGCAATTCAAGTATAATCTTCTACTTACATCTAGTGGGTGTCTGTTACAGGGCCTTTCAATGAGGAGTCCTCGAGTTTTTGGTGAAGTTAGAGAAGGTCTCTATTTACTAGATCCCAGTAATTTCAAATCTAGTAGTATGCTTAGTAGTAATGTAATTTCATTTTCAAAAGGAAGGAATTCCAGTTCTAAGTCTGTTTTAGGTTCAGAATTAGTTCATGTCAATGTGATACCTGATGTAAAGCTTTGGCATGAAAGATTGGGTCATGTTCCAATTTCAACAATGAAACATTTACATTTCTTTCATTGTGCTTCAAATTCTGGTTTCATTGATATCTTCCCTAAAGCTAAACAGACTAGAAATCCTTTTCCCATCAGTAACATAAAAACCAAACATGTTTTTGATCTTATACATATTGATACTTGGGGACCTTATAAATCTAGCACTTACAATGGTTTCAAATATTTCCTCACTATTGTTGATGACTACAATAGTACCTGTACATTTTTGTTGAGTGCTAAAAGCAATACTTTTCCCATGCTTAAAAGTTTCCTATCTATGGTAGAGAGACAATTCAATGTCAAAGTTAAGATGATAAGATCTGATAATGCTTTGGAACTGGGAAAGGGGACACTGGAAGCAGATTTTCTTGCATCAAAAGGCATACTGCATCAGTTAAGCTATGTTGGTACTCCTCAACAAAATAGAATTGTTGAGAGGAAGCACAGGCATCTCCTAGAAGTGGCAAGGGGTTTAATGTTCCAGTCTAGATTGCCCATATCATATTGGGGAGAGTCTATTCTGACTGCAACACACATTATAAATAGGTTGCCTTCTAGAATACTGAATGGTAAAACTCCTTTTGAAGTCATTTTCAAGGAAAAGCCTAAATATGATTATTTAAGAAACTTTGGATGTTTATGCTATGCTTCTACCTTAACACAAGGAAGAAGCAAATTTGATGAGAGAGCAACTGCTTGTGTGTTGATTGGACATCCTTTGAATCAGAAAGGATATAAGCTATTGGAACTGGAAACTAAGAAGATCTTTGTTTCTAGAGATGTTAAATTCTTTGAGTCACATTTTCCTTTTGCGAAGCTTAAACCTATCCATAGTCCCATTTTTTCAGATTCACCCCTTTCTTTGGATTTCAACTCCTATCAACATGAAGAAGAAGAAGAAGAAATGTCCTGTACAGAAGATATGGACCTTAACAATCCAATTTCTCCATCCTCACCTTATTTTCAACCCCAGTCTTCTGATTCATCCACCACACCCACTCCTCATCATCCTGATTAACATGTCCCTCACACCAGTCCTAGTATATACCCAACAAAATCTCCTATTCCTGCACCTAGATAGGAAGTTTCTTTGAGGAAGTCTAATAGAGTGACACAACAACCAGTGTATTTTAAGGACTATGTGTGTAATAACATCATGTTTGCTGATCTAGATAGGGCATATTTCTCTCAACCTAGTAGCCCTAGTGCCTATTCTTTTTCCTCCCTCACCATCAGTAATCAGCATCTGATCCAGTCCCTATCCAATTTAAATGAGCCTAATAGTTATGAACAGGCTTCTCAACATCCAGGTTGGAGACAAGCTATGGAATCAGAAATTCAAGTTTTACAAGATAATCAAACTTGGGAAGTGGTTAAGCTGCCTAAAGGGAAGAAGCCATTACATTACAAATGGGTTTATAAGGTCAAGCACTTATCTGATGGAACCATTGAAAGGCTAAAGTCAAGACTTGTAGTAGGGGGGGGATATTCAAAGAGAGGAGATAGACTATAGTGAGACTTTCTCTCCGGTAGTCAAGATGACAACTATAAGATGTCTTCTTGCTGTTTCAGCAAAGAGGGGTTGGACTGTGTCCTAGTTAGATGTGAATAATACATTTTTACATGGAGATTTACAAGAAGAAGTGTACATAAAATTTCCAACAGGACTCATCCCTCCTAGTCCTTCTCATGTTTGTCTGCTAAAAAAGTCTTTATATGGTTTAAAGCAAGCTTCACGGCAGTGTGATAGTAGGCTATATAGTCGATATTTAAACCTTAATAGGACCATACTTTGTTGTTGTTTTATAGATAATTTGCCAACAAAATGCTCTAAATAGTGTTCTTTTGTTTAGCAGGGAATATTATATGAGAGGAAGCAACATGGAGTATTTTAGAGGCGATAATGTGAAGAAAAACACCCACTCGAGAAGTTCCCGAACACAAAGAAGCATAAATGGCCTGGGCAAGAAGGCCACCGCGGTGGCACCGCGGTGAATCGCGGCATATTAATGAAGTGAGGCAGAAAGGTTGGCGTTCACCGCGGTCGACCGCGGTGCACTGTTCACGCAGCTGGAAGCTTGAGCACCAAAGTGTAATTTGGGGAAACTTTTGTAAAACCCTTATAAGCTTTAGAAACTCGCCCAACTAGAAAAAAAAAGAAGAAGCTAATTTTAGACTACTTTTAGAGGAAGAACGAGTGTGAGAAGATCAACCAAACATTAGAGTTTTTCTATCTCCTTTTAATTCTTGCAATTTTACATTATGAACAATTTAGTAGTTATTTCTTATTTTGTTATGAGTAGCTAAACACTTATCTAGGGTTGATGGAACCAACTGTTGATTGAAGTTTTGACTCAAGTTGTTATAATCGAGCCGGATTTATGATATGATTGTTCAACTACGCTTTGTATGGTGATTAATTGAATGGGCCCTTGATTAATCGTGTCTAATTACCTTATATTGCTTGAAAAAGAATATTAGGTTAGATAGCTGTTGAACAACACCACTTTTGGGTAATTGAAGAGATTCATTACTTGAACTTAAAAGTGGGTTTAGAGATAACAAAACTTTGGTGGGATAATTTAGAGTTGCATACCCATTGTCAGCTAGAGTAGTTCGAGAGAATGCTCTAGTAAATTATTGTAGTTGATTGAGAGATAATTATGATAGCCCATAACTCTTAATCCTCATAGAGTATTACGGCGAGATTATAGCGGAAGAGTCAAGACCTAAACTAACAATTGGGGAAATCACTGCCCTAGACCACTTTACCATTGAATTCTCTTTGTTTTAACTTACTGTTGTTTTTAATAGTAGTTGAAGTAGTTAAACAAAAAAAACCAATCTTTATTGATCAAAAATCTTGCATCTAGAGATTGATTGAGTTAATAATAATATTACCGAAGAGTGTAATACATAGGTTAGTTCTCTGAGGATTCGATTCCGGACTTAAAACCGGATTATATTTGCAGCGATCGCTTTGTCCTTTGAAAGGCATAGTTGGGCGTTATCAAATTTTGGAGTCGTTGTCGGGGAGCTAACGGTGTTATTTATTACAACTTAGAAGTAGTGTTAAAATTATTAGTTCAAATCAATTTTCAAAGGTGTTAAACAATTTTCATTGAAATTCTAACGTTTGAACTCTTGTGGAATTCAGGTGTATGCCTAGAAATTCTTCGAGGACTGGAGAACTGCTTGAAGGACTTTCAGACCCGGAGAAAACATTTAGGGCATTGAACTGTGCCAACAAGAGGATCCAACAATCACAATAACCACACCAGCTTGAATTTGACAAGGGTGACGTAGAGAACGTCAATGGAAACATCAGGGATGAGCCAGCTGACCCAAACGTTAGAGTGGTGGCACCTCTTATGCCAGAAGCTGCACTTTATGATTGGGCTCAACCCACAGCTGACAACCTGGCAACTGCCATATCTGAGCCCGCAATTCAAGCGGAGACATTCTAGATCACCAACAACATGCTACATCTGCTACAGAATAAATGATTGTTTTCCGGGTCACACATTGAAGACCCTCAGCAACATTTGAAATATTTTCTGTCAATTTGTGTGACTCAAAGGCAGCCAAATGTGACCCCAGAAGCTATCAAGCTATTACTAATCCCGTTCTCTGTGACTGGGGAAGCTCAGACTTGGCTGAATTAGCTCCAAATCACTTCCATTGTCACCTGGGAGGAATTAGTAAAGCAGTTTTTGAATAAGTTCTACCCACCCAACAAGACTGCAAGGCAGATTGATGAAATATTGCAGTATAAGCAGCAACCGACTGAGATCTTGCAAGAAACTTTGAAAAGATTTAAAGGGATACTGGTTAAGTGTCCTCACCATATCATTCCAGACCAGATGCTGGACCAGAGATTCTACATGGGATTGGCGGACAATCTAAAAGCCAATGTGGATACTTCAGCTGGAGGTACATTTTTGAGTAAGACATTCACCGAGTGCAAAGTCCTTCTGGACAAGATGTCCCAGAACTCGGGGTGGATGACTAGAGGTACAACATTGGCACCCATAGTGCATTCGGTGCCTCTTGACCCAAATAATTCGCAGACAGAGAACATGGCCACACTCCTAACTCAGATGAGTATTTTGACAAAGAAGATAGATGAGATGGGTACCAAACAGGTGCATATTGTTGACACGACAAATGGAGGACTGTGTACACCCTATGTTAATCAGTTTTATGTGTGTTCATGGAGCGGAGAAGGTGAAAATCAAGGAGCAAGGGAAGATATGAATTATGTTAACAACTTTGGGGGTTAGAGACAAGGAGGACAACAGTGGAGACCGGCACCAAATTAGCAATACAGACCCAACATACCTCAGCCTGGGGGCATGCAAGCTCAAGGCCAAATGGTGCCATACCACCAGAGACAACAGGGCTACCCACAGCAGAACCAGTAACAGTTGACATATCAGCCACCTCCTCAGTAGCAAGATAACAACATGGTAGAGATCAGAGGGATGCTCCAGCAACTCATTGGGACAAATGGTAAGATGCAAGAAAAGTTGGCAATACATGAGTCAGTTATAAAGAACATTGAAACTCAGTTGGGGCAGTTGTCTATGGCTTTAAACAATCGCCCCCAGGGAACATTGCCAGCGGATACAAATATTAACCCCAAGGAGCAAAACCCGAATCAGCTGATGGCAGTAAGTCTTCGAAATGGGAGAGATTTAGACAAAGAGCAGGAGGTTGCACAAGCCAGCAAAGAGACTACCCCAGCCACTCCAATTCCACTAGAGGTGATGAACCAACAAATCTGACCGAAGTGGTAGTTTAACAGGGTCAAGATGAAAAGGGTAAGGCTAAGGTAAATGAACAAGCTGCAGAACAGGTGGTGCCACTTGTGCCACAGAACCCCAACAGAGAGAAGCCAGCAAGCAGTGAACAAAGGGTGATACCTGTACCATTCCCTCATAGACTGGTAAAACAAAAGAAGGAAGATCAATACAAGAAATTTATGGAGATGCTGCGTCAAATTCAGCTGAATATTCCTTTGATGGATGCCTTGAGGGAGATGCCAGGTTATGCGAAGATGATGAAAGACCTAATGTCACAGAAGTTTGATTTTCAGGACCTATCCACAGTGACTCTGACGCAGACCTGTAGCGCAATAGTGACCAGACCGATGGCTCAAAAGATGTCCGACCCAGGTAGCTTCACTATTCCATGCACGATTGGGAGTTACGCCTTTGCAAAGGCATTATGTGATTTGGGAGCCAGCATAAATTTGATGCCTCTGGTTGTATACACCAAACTGGGCATTGGCAGAGCTAGAACAACTTCGATGTTGCTGCAACTGGCTAACCGCACGGTAAAAAGGCCTACTGGGATTTTTGATGATGTGTTGGTGCAAGTGGGGAAGTTCGTGTTCCCTGCGGACTTTGTTATTATGGATTGTTAGGTAGATAAGGAGATACCTATCATTTTAGGTAGGCCATTTTTAGCCACTGGGAGAGCCCTGATCGATTGTGAGACTGGGGAATTAAAAATGAGACTGAACGATGAAGAAGTCATATTCAATGTTCAGCAATCTATGAGGAGACCCAGTGAATATACTAATTGCTCTCTAGTGGAGGCAGTGGATGTGATCCTGCAAGAAGATGATGTGACCCTGACTGTTAAAGATCCATTGGAGGCATGTCTGACAAATTTAGAAGGATGGTGAAGGGTTAGCTGAGTGGGTCATGTCACTTGAAGGCCAAGGATTCTGGAAAAGGGAACCTCAGTTTGAGTCCCTTAAGTTAGAAAAAAGGGTTGCACCTCCAGCAAAGCCATCGGTAGAGGAACCACCTAAGTTGGAGCTGAAGCCGCTTCCAGCTCACCTCAGGTACGTTTTCTTAGGCCCTGATTCTACTTTGCATGTTATTATATCATCCGGTTTGTTAGATGTGCATGTAGAACAGTTCTTACAGGTACTGCAGGAAAGCAAAACTGCCATTGGCTAGACCATGGCAGACATAAAGGGTATCATCCCAGCGTTCTGTATGCATAAGATTCTCTTGGAAGAAGGGCACAAACCTTCCAGAGAACATCAACGAAGGATGAACCCAAACATGAAAGAGGTAATAAAGAAGGAAGTGATCAAATGGTTAGATGTGGGAATCATCTTCCCCATCTCTGATAGCAATTGGGTTAGCCCTGTCCAATGTATGCCGAAAAAGGGGGGAATGACTATTGTGCAAAATGAGAACAATGAGTTGATCTTAACTCGTACAGTTATGGGATGCAGATTTGCATGGATTACCGAAAATTGAACACAACCACCCGGAAGGATCACTTCCCCTTATCTTTCATTGACCAAATGTTGGACAGGCTGGCCAGGCGCTCACACTTCTGTTTCTTGGATGGATATTCGGGGTACAATCAGATATCAATAGCCCCCGAAGATAGAGAGAAAACATCCTTCACTTGTCCATATGGCATCTTCGCCTTTCGGAGAATGCCTTTTGGGCTTTGCAATGCACCGGCGACATTTTAACGGTGCATGTTAGCCATTTTCACAGACATGGTGGAGGATATTATGGAGGTCTTTATGGATGATTTCTC